TTGCCAACCGTGACTTTTTAGCCGTACAATTTGTTGTATGCGCTGTATACGTATTGTGTTGTGCGCTTTTATGTTGTTTTTATATCCCAAATCGGCAATTTGCGGCCGCTACGCCCCTACGCAACCAGGAAAACAGATGACTTTTGTAACGGAAGACCAGCGGGAGACCCAGATTCGCCGTGTTCTTTGTGCGTCGCAAACCGCGGAAATTCACGTGGTGAATCGCGGAATCTTGAAATTCAAAACACGCCAACTAGCTGAGATGCTTGGGGAAAGCACTAAAAATTTTCAAGAAATTTAATTTGACATTTAAAAATTTAATTTTCATTTTTAATGGCAGGTTGGTTTCCTCCGGTAACTTTTTTGGGCGCGAAATCTAATGATCGTCTTTAAAATTTGAAAACCATCGTATAATCCATGAATTGCTCTGGCTTCACAGTGCCTTGAATGGGACAGGTCGGCGGATTCCAATGGCATTTTCAGCTAAAATCAGCCGATACCCTCGGGAAAACGCGCGAAAACAACCTTTCCAAGGATTTTGAGTGATTTTGACTTCCCGGTCCCTTTAATCCACCGATTCTCCGTCCGCCGAACGCCGGAAGACATTCAAATCGACCCCCGAAAAGAACATTTCCGAGGTGCAGCTACAGTACCCGATGTTGGCCCCCTTCCCTTTGGGCGGATAAGTCATCACCCACCTCAACCCACCCCACCCCTGGCCTTCCCCCGAAAAAACAGCCTCTCTCTCTCTCTCTCTCTCTCTCTCTCTCTCTCTCTCTCTCTCTCTCTCTCTCTCTCTCTCTCTCTCTCTCTCTCTCTCCGACCTTTTCTCGTTGTTCTTCTTGTATGTCCATCATCTTTCCGCATTGTCTCCTCTCCTTCGAACAGTTTTCGGGGCCAATGAGTGTCCCGTCCAGAATCGAAAGGTTAGCATCGCTTCTTCTTTTCTTCTTAGCATCTTCCCCCCAGGGCATTCAGCATTCAGCCAAACGAACAGTTGCTAGGCTAAACATCGAGGATACTGTCTTTTTACGCTATATTATTCTTGCTCTCAAATCAGACGGCACACTACCATTAATTCGAATTGCTATCAACTTGCAAAATAACACCGCGCTTGAATTTATGCCCAAAAACCCGGTGTGGATTGATGTCATGGAGCAGCGTTTCTTGCCTTTTTTGAAAATTTATAGAGGGTACTGTAGTGCACGGGCCCGTTTCTATGGAGCATTTTTGCTATGTAATTTCAAGATTGTCATTGATACGCACCCGAGAAAAGTGTTAGTCAATCTAAGCATCAAGAATTCACATAAAGTACGGTAGCGCCAAAAAAGGCGAGATTTTCGCGGTCAGATCCGTAGTGACTGCTTCATAAAACCGATTCTCCCCAACTTACGCCATACAATAAAAGTAGCGCTTCGGGCCTGGATACTATTGATCAAAAAAGAAAATTCTAAATTTTTCAGCGGCTATTTCAAACCCTTTTCCATACCCCTTCCCACGCACCATATGCAAATTTCCGGGGGTCGACCCCTCAAACGGTTCGCCGCCCATTTTTTGTCCGTTTTTGGTGATTCCCCTCTAGCTAGTCAGTCAGCCCATCAAAATTCAAGAAAATCACCGAGGAATCGCCGCCCTAGATCTGGCTATTTTTGGCCGCGTTTTCATTTTGTCGTGGAGTTCGCGGTGTGGAATTTTTTTCAGAATTTTGGAATTTGTAATTTTATTGTTGTTTCGGAACGGCTATCAAATTTCGAGAATATTTTATGACTTCTAGAAGCTTACTACGGTATTTTCAGGCTTTTTCCTATTTTCGGTTTTTAAAAATTCTCGATTCTTAAGCGCTTCAAATTAGGTCTTCCAGATTAATTAATAATTCAGATTTTTGATAAATTCTGCCAAAATTTAAACTTTGATTTCACAAAGCTTAAATGATTAAGCAACCTTGTTTTTACAAAATTTTGGGGACTTTCCAATTAAGCTTTAGAGCATTTTTTGGTTTCTAACCGATTACGATACATTATGACTCGGTTTTCATGCATTTAAATTTTTGATACCTGGCCTTACCGTCGCCTAATAAATTACCAAAAATTTATTTTTACCCGAGAGAATCGGCTTTTTTATTTAATTACACCCCTCCTACTCGCCTCCATTATTTCATTTCCGATGGAATCATCTGAACTTTCCGTTACAAATTATAGTGGGTCCGTTTTTTCTGGGCCACTCGTGGACCCAGAAATCGGGCATCTCTCTCACCCTCTCCCTATCTCTCCCTCTCTCTTTCTCTCTCTCTCTCTCTCTCTCTCTCTCTAATTTACGGATCCATTCCCTCGCCCACACTATTTACTCGACTAGTCGAACAGGTGCAAATGTTGCTCGTGGCCGCCAGTTATTTTCAGCTGGAAATAGTTTTGAAATAATGCTGAATGGAAGAGTGAAATATTAATTGAGTTTTTGGTGAATGGAGACTTCGATGAATTGGGTCGGAATGGAAACAAAGGGGCGAGCTAGCAGAGAGCACTTGAGGAATTATTTTACGCATTCTAAATGATTTCTGCTCATTTGACGAGCGGGCGAATCTCAAATGGTCTCTGCTAGTTGTCTGCGCATCCCAGCAGCGATCATTGGGGCCAAAATCAAGACCTAAGCCAGTGGCCATTGGCGGAAATCCTAAAAAACCTCTGCTCGATTGCCTAGGCAAGCTAGCAGAGGCCATTTGCGGAAAGCTGGCAGCTGGCTAGCAGATATCCTTTGTAGAAAAAATCGTTTCTTATTTTAGTGAAAGTCCCTGAACACTTTTTTAGGCTAGTTTTCCAGCCGTACCCCTCTCCGCATAAAAATGTCAAATCCTCAAATACTGGTGTAATTAGCTGTATTCCGTACCCTTCTCTCCTACACACCTAGCCTTTGAGAACCCTGTAATCTACTTCGAATTATGGCCCCCATCCCCCTCAGAAATGACATTTCCCGGTACCCCCGATTTACGCACAGACACACATTTATCATTTTGACATTCCTGGAAAATGGCTGGGAAATGATGCGTGGACTGAGGGAGAGTGAGAGAGAGAGAAAGGTTACTGTAGAATTTGGGAAAAAATTGAATCTTGGTCTGATGGCTTAGCCGCGGAAAGGGCAAGTTTGCAGGTTTGTGAGATCTTAGTTCCTTCGTAGTTCTTTTTAGTTTGTCTTTTTCGCATTTTTATCATCGCTTTCGCTCTCCCCTCTCTTTCTCTCTCCTCTATGCATTTCCATCCATCTCACGATCTCCCTCTCTATGCATTTCTGTCTCTCTCCCTCGCCCTCTCTTCTCTCCCACTCTCTCTCTCTTTCTCTCTCTCTCTCTCTCTCTCTCTCTCTCTCTCTCTCTCTCTTTCTCTCTTTCGCTATGCATTTCTGTCTCTCTCCCTCGCCCTCTCTTCTCTCTCACTCTCTCTCTCTCTCTCTCTCTCTCTCTCTCTCTCTCTCTCTCTCTCTCTCTCTCTCTTTCTCTCTTTTTCTATGCATTTCTGTCTCTCTCCCTCGCCCTCTCTTCTTTCTCTCTCTCTCTCTCTCTCTCTCTCTCTCTCTCTTTCTCTCTTTCCCTATGCATCTTTCTCACTCGCTCTCAGTCTCGATGCACCATCCCACTTCTCAAAGGATCTCTGCTCGCTTGCCTCGTTTTCCTAACGAATCTTTGCCAGTCCCTCTGGAGTTTCATTCAAAGATATGTACACATTTCTGATCCGAGCTCTCCGAAATCATGATATGTACTTTTCATTAAACCGCGCTCAAAAAGTGGTGTCTCAGCGTTCCGAATCGTCTCGTGACCACCAACTCAAAATCCAATTCATTTCTTCATTCCCTCGACTACCCCACGCGTCTATCCACGAAAATTGGGTGATCAAAACGGGCGGAATGAGGCGGAATTTGGAGTGGGTGGAACACGGGGATTAATATAATCTCTAGAGACAATTGGATTAGGCCATGCTTTCTTTTCAGCTCTCGCTCTCTCATTCACTCTCTCTCTCACTCTCTCTCACTCTCACTCTGTCGTGGCAGGACCCCAAAAAACCTGATTATTTTGGACCAAGCGGATCTTTGGCGCGCTGTTTCACTAGCCGGGGGACTACGGTACAATCCTATGATCTTGGCCCAGCTGCTGCCGCCCCCGGAATTTGGACTCTGAACGGCATGTTATAAGACAGAAGACAGCAGCAGTCGTTGCTTACGTTGCTTTGAAAAACCGAGGAGCTAAAATTAAGCAAACATATCGGAAACTTTTGGGTTACGGTAGGCTACGTTAGGGTGCTTGGATTACAGTGGTGGACGTTGTTTTGAACGTTAAAGAATCTCAAAAATATGAGATTCGTAAACCCGGGGTGTTAGAAAGTAGGATAAGTAGTTGATTGCGTTAATCATGACTTTTCTGGGGTTACTGTAGGACTACGGCGGAATACGGTAGATCATACCGAAACACGATAGTTGTGGTTTTGTCTATATTTAATTATAATAAGATTTTCCTCATCACTTGAAATAGATAAATTTCTCCATTCCTTAATTGTTTTTCACAGGGCAAAAACGTATATTTCCAATTCCTGCCGTTTTTATTTCCCCGTGCCAATTACGGTAGAACACCCTATTGTCACAATTTAACGAATCCGATAAACTAGAAAAAGATTAAATTCCCGATCCCGCAATTTTGCAGTTTTTTGCCAGACCAGTTTTTCGACCTCCTTGGCCTTCCTGCGGCGATGTGTAGGCCAGGTGTACGCCGCGTCGTCGACAGGTGCAACTAGGAGGGGGAAAGAGAGAGAGAATGGAGAAAAACAAAGGCAAAAAAGCCCAGCAAAAAGAGCAAAAAAGATACGGTACTCGCAAATCTAATTTCGCCCGTCTCTGGCTGGTCGCACCCGGGGCCTGAATTTTGATTTGAGCAAAAACTGGAAAGGTGATCTCTCGAGGTTTCAATTTTCCTTCAAAATCGCTTTTCTCAAATTCGAAACAGTTTTTATGATTTTTCCAGAATGATGAAGCTGTCCGCAACGCTGCGTAAAGCGACCGTCGACGAGCTGGCCGAGATGCTGGCGCAGAAGGAGAAAGAGAATAAACCCGGTAAATAGTGCATTTAAAGGGATTGGAAAGGCAAACGGCTGTGAATTTTATAAGAATTTTTGCTACTTTTTATTTTTCTCTTCTTTTACCTAGAGTAAACGATTGGGTTTTTGCTTATTTTCCGGTTCGCTGCTTTCGCCTAAAATTGTAAAAATATGGCAATTTCCGGAAAACAACTTTTTATCGATTTTTCAAATTATAAAAATAGATGGTAATCTTCCGGGAACCTTTGCTGTCATGTTCCATTTAAAAAGGCCGGTTTTTAGCTCTTGTGCTCCCAAATTTTTAATCGTCCACTCGAATACACCTTACACCTAAAGTGTTGTAGCTTGTAGCTTTCCCTTTAAAGACCGTCAGAACGATGAAATTCCGTTGTGAGCAAGAAAATTGCGCACCGGGCGGGAGTCGAACCCGCGATGGTTCGCTCCACAGTCCGACGCGCTAGCCACTACACCACAGGGCCAAGTGGGGAGGTGAGTCAGAGACGCCCCAAACCCCAGAGGGCCTTTGCCCAGTACGGGGCACCACTAATGACGCATCTCTCCGCGCGTTCTTGGGGGCAGCACCCTCGGGGTGACAGTGCGCGTTCCATCGTTCTGGTAGTCTTTAATTTCGTAAAATTTTAAATTAGCATTTTTAGCCAATTTTTTTGGAGTGCCCCTGATTTTCTGAGACCCGAGATCCCGTGATTATTTTAGGGTAAACCAAAAACCCAAGCACGCTGCGAATTCAAATTATTGCGTAGCTGATCCCATTACCTCGGACGAGCAATAAATCAAATGTCGCTGCTGTTCCCCCGTCTATCCAATTACGGCGTCCAAATCGGACATCACTGGGCTTTAAAAGTACAAACTTGGCTTCTACTAACTTTTTCTGGCTCAGCAGCGTGGAAAAATTCTGTTTGTTAGTTCCGCTGTTTCGAAAACTACGCGTAGATACGCCAAATGACGGTGTGAAAGTTCTAGAAAATTTGCTGAAAAACGAAAAACTTATGAGAGGTCGATTGCGTAGAAAATTGGATTTTCCTGGGTTGGTCTCGCCGCGAAATTGGGCCATAAAGACGCGTTTGTACTTGGCCCTCAGTCAGTGCATTTGATTCGGGAAATTGAGCAAGCGGTAGCAGGCTGTAAATTGGAAAAGTCGGAAAAATTGTTCTATGGAACTTTTTGCAAGGATCTGAATTTTGAGCCCAGTTTTTTCGGTAATTGTCATTTTTGAAGAACTTTACAGTGCAATTCAACGCTGGAAACTACAAAATTTTGCCTTTTTCTGGATAGGTCGAGATGACTTTTTGGGAGGATACTTTTTTTGTAAGCGTCATAGAGGTCTTTATGACCCGCGAATTTTTTTTTTCTACTTGTCATTTTTCATTTTTTAAAGGGCTGCTGAAGGCTATAATCCCAAAAAAAATAAAGGAATTTTTGTAATACTAATTTTTTTTGGAATTTTCGAGCGCGCTGTCGTTAAAACGAACTTAAATTTGCTTACAAGGGAAGGTTGTTTGGGTCAGGTGTCAAATCGACTTGAAACTTTGCCAGTGGATAGAAAATCAAAAATAAAGTTGAGTTTCTTAATCTCATTTTTTGCACAATACCCCAAATTAAAAAGTTATAGGCCTCTGAAGTTACATAAAAAAAGCATGAAACGACCCGACAATTCTGATCTGGTCCTCATTGTGGCCTCCCCCTTTTCAAGCTCTTGCGTCGTTCGGACTGGCAAGCTGTTTGGCGCAGTAGGTAGTGCCCTAGAGTGCAAAACTTTTTAAATTTTTGGAATCGAGTTCAAGTCTTTGATGCGTCCACCTTTTTGCTTTTTGGATTTTACGCCAACTAACCCTAATTTCCAAGAGCAAAAAGCAAAAAGCATAAAGATAGAAAAGTTTTAGTCTCGAACTTTTGCCAAAAATTTTTCAAAAGATTGTCAGTCAAGCGCACTACCGATTGCGCTAGAAGAGACATGGGGTGCGGAGACGAGAGAGGGTCAAAAAATCACGCATGAAGAAAATGTGGAAACGGTGCGGTATTGGTGCAAAAGCATGCGCAGAACTCATTTTACAGACCACAAACTTAAAATCCTTATAACTTTTTAATTGGGGGTATTGTGCAGAAAAAGACTTGGCGCACCTTTTTCCGTTTTCAATTTTCTATCCACTGGCCAATTTTCAGAAAGATTTGACACCTGACCCAAAAAACCTTCCCTTGTTAATTTGGATAGATCAATTTCAAAATCCTTCAAAAACACCGGTTCGAAAAACGTTAGAAAAATCCAAAAATGCATTTTTTGAGATTTTCAGGCCGCTACTGTAATTAATTTAATTTTTCTAGATTTGAATTATCTGCCAAAATACATCATCAAATTCAATTTTTCCCTTCCAGGCCCCTTTAAATCGCGCTACAACCCCCAAAATAGTTCCAAAACCCCTACACCCCATCGCGATTCCCCGAAAATTACAGGGCTGACGGGATTAGAAATCCCAAAATTCGGCTCGCGTGGGTTGGGAAATGTTATAGGAAAAAAACAGGGGTTTGGCCCTACCCCAGAATTACAATCGGACCATTTGCGTAGATCGGGTGTCGAGGGGTGTTGAGGGGAAAAAAGGGAAAGGTTGTCAGCTCGAAAATGGCCTATCGCAGAAAGGTTACAATGGGGAAAATATTGTGCAAATATTGCTTTTGGTACCAAAGTACGGTAACGTGAAAAAAAAATCGCAAAAAGTTTATTAAGGCCATAAAAAACCGACGCATTTTTAAAGACGTTTAGCCATCGAACTGCAATTGCCTAAAAACACATTGTTTTTGGAACTTTGCAGCGTACGGTAGATATGACTGGCTCGACTCTTACAAAGTTGCCTTCAGAGCCCCTTTAAAAGTCCTCGAAAAACCGAAGGTTCCCGGAGCGCGTACGGTAGAAAACAGATTCGCATCTTAAAGGACCATTGAAGGCATGGAATTGCTTATGAAGCATCGCACAAAATTTACAAAATACATCCTCTGACGATTTTGGCCGATTGCAAAGCGCTCGAACTCGTCCATAGATAAGGACTGCTCAGTTACCGGTACGGTTTAGCGCCAAATTTTAAAACGCAAGAATTAACCCCCGGCCGCCCACTAGTTCCGACAAACGCGTAGTCAAACGTGCTTGAACGTACTCAAGCGTACTCAAAACGTCGTCTCAAGGCGCGTAATTTGACACGTAATGTGGCTGTCGACAGTGATGCTTGTTAGCACCTGTAAAGTCGATGAGTCTGATTCAATATTTTTAGACCTTGACGTGAAAGAGGAAAAAGGAGAAGCTGCAGAAACGGACGTGGTGAAGGAGGAAAATCTGAAGTCCCTGGCCTCACCGAGCTCCATCTTCCCATCTCATGCTCAGGTTAGAAAATCGGTTTTTTACGGGGTTACGGAAGTTTAGGGATTACTTTACCGCATTATTGAACTAAATAAAAAACATAGCTAATTTATTTCTCCATAATTTCCTCACAATTCTGAAAATTAAATCGCTTTGAATTTTTAAGATCACAAAGTTTTTTACGTTTTAAATTTGTTCTATTTTCTAAAAAATGTTTAATTAATTATCCCTCCCCTTACCCTATTTTTGCGTATTTATTGACTCCATCTGACACCAAATTCCACTCGAGCCCTCAAGCATCAGCCCCGAGTACGTGCCCCCGTAAATAGTTGTGCCCCGGAAATGGATCTCCGGAAATCCGTCACAATCCTCTTTGCACACGACGCGTAAGATTTCGCGGCGTCTCATTGGAGCCCGCGTGCAAAAAGTGACTACCGTAACCCGCCGGATTCCGCGGAAAACAGGATCCAATAGGAGTGAATGGATTTAAGTTTAAATTTGGGCGTTTTCTAGGGTTTCCAAATCCGATTATTCTTTCTCGGCCACTCTCTCTCTCTCTCTCTCTCTCTCTCTTTTCGACAATAGTTGGCCCCCTCCAAAATGACAAATCCCCCTCCGTGAAAAGGGTTTCCTCTTGGCCGCGAGGGCGTAAATTGGCCGGCCACGTACTTTTTGTTTGTTTTTTCAAGGGCATTTCTGCACCTGCAAATAGTGGGCAGTGTAGTGGGTGTTTTTTTAAGTTTAACTTTTTGATAAGATATTAACTCTCAAAAATGCAAGATTTTTATGGCTTAAGTAGTTTTAAAGGGACTTGCAAGTCAAATTATCTTGACTTTCTCGCATGCGAAAAATTCGGAGCGTGTTTGTAAAGTTTTAATGAAGCGCTACAGGCAATGTTTAGTAGCTAAAGGCTAAAAAAGCCGGTTAATTGAAAGTGATAAAAACCAGTTACGCTATCTAAATGACATTTTTTAAAGGGACGATGAAGGCTAGGAAGGTTTCTTCAATCGCTTATGACACGTATATATAGAAATTTTTCTTGCAAGAATGGGTATCTTGATGGAACTGGAAAGGGCTGATTAGCCTTTCTCTCGGCTGAAAATTATGGATTTCAGCCTTCCAAGTACCTTTAATACCGAAAATGCTAAATTCCACCCCTTAAAGACTGGGTGTCGACATTTCCCGGCGGCAAAGAAAACCATAACAGTATCACTCATAATTTGGCCGTTCTGCCGCTTGTCGATACCCAGCTATCCGAAGGGGACTATTTTCGCGCATTAGGATTTTCTTAAAACAGCCTTCCAGGCCCCTTGGATACTAGAAAACCCCCAAAATCTACTCCCAACCTACGACAGCTGCTTTTCGACCATTCCCCGTACCCGGAAGCGGTTCTTCCGCTCGTAAATTTGCTTTTTCACTTCCGACTTTCCCTTGGAAACGTTGAGAATTGTTGATATTTTGTGTACCCACTCGATCCCACGCATTTCTGCATCAAAGCCTGGCGCCAAATTCCACGAAAAGCCCCCCTAATCAAGCTGGGAAGGGTATTCTGTACGCAAAACGTGAACCGAACTTTCTTGGCTTAATGCTGAATTTTGCGCAAAAAGTTCGACACTTCACACGGCAATCATCCTGCGTAGCGCAAGCCTGAGAGTCGGAAGATCGTCAGAAATGAGGGCGAATTAGACAATACTCGATTGTGTACCTGCTGATTTTCGTGGGAATGTTTTCCGACTTGATTCCGGGAAATGTGACGTCAGCGTCAGAGCGGAGTGTGATGTAAAAATGGAGTTTAACGGAACCGAGAAGGGACGCTGGAATCCTCAGCCGCGATACACAAGGCGTCATGCAACGGGATATGCAAGTTACGTAATGTGACACGCTACGCGATACGCAACGTGATACGCAACGCTATACGCAACGTGAAACGCAGCGCAGCACGTTTCCCGAGACGCTACGCGGGACGCGACGCGGTACGTTACGCAAAATGCGAAAAACGCCGCGCTACACGCAACGCGTGTGTTCTACAGCTTTTCGAGAGGATGGAGCTTTTCGAGATCTACGATATCGATTCCTCTTTAAAGGGATGCCCAACCTTTCCGGTAGTCAAAAAGCAAAAATCATGTCGCGGGCGGGGGTCGAACCCGGGACCCCCGGTTTTGTAGGCTTGGATGCTATCCATTAGGCCATAGTGGCAAGCCATTGGATGGGATGCGGACGCCACAAGAGGGAAAGGGTCCGAATTTTGTGCGGCAAGGGGCTCCCCGTTGCCGCACGGAATTCGCGCGTCAGTTGTACTGCCCGGAATACATAACTATATATTTGCCGCCAAAACCTCGGGTATCCCTTTAACAGCAAAAATTGCATATCAATTTATGGATCTTTGGCAGCGTGCCAAAATTGAAATTTAGCCTACCGGGGTCATTTTTCGTTTCTTGTTAAGCTTGATTAGCTTCTCCAGCTCTTTGGTTTTGCCTTCAATGGCCCTTTAAAAGCAAATATTTTCAAAAAGTTATCAAAAAAAACATAAAAATAAATTTACGGTTCCCCGAAGACTTGAAACAGCCCTCGGATCGAGGCTGTTGTACCCGCCGAAAACAGACCGACAATTTCCCCGAAACGGATTTCCCGGTCCGACAAATGTTCAGTCTTCATGAACATTTCTTTGATTCTCTCTCCCGCCTTCTCTCTCTCTCCCTCTCTCTCTCCCCCTCTCTCTCTCCCTCTCTCTCCCTCTCTCTCTCTCTCTCTCTCTCTCTCTCTCTCTCTCCTTCTCTCTCCGCTCTCTCTCCTCGGTAATGTGAAAATCAGAGATTTCTCCGAAAATAGGGTCTGGTAGCGGGGGATGAGCCATTTTCTTGAGAGTATCACTTCCGCCTCCCAAATTCTTGCTCTCTTTTCCCAGTAAATAAGCACCAAAAACCGTACAGAAGAGCGGCACGTAGTAGATCGGAACGAGCCTGGAAAGCGAGGAAATCACGTCAAAGTGTATGCCGTAAATGTTGTTTGATAGGTTGACTCAGGGCTGCATTCAATTTCCCAAATGGTCACTGTTCGTTGGCCTTGGAAAAATCGATATTCGAGGTTTGTGAGTTTCCTTAAAAAAGCTCTGCTAGCTGGCCCTTGCCGTAAATAATCACTGTTAGCTAGCCCTTTCCACAAAGGATTGCTGCTGGCTGGCCCTTTCCTCGCTGAATCTCTGCCAGGCTGTCCATTCCACAAGGATCTTTGCTCGCTAGCCCTTTCCACCCCGATCTTCAATTTTCCAAGTATTATCCCATTTTTACTAGTTCTTAGAATATCCCTCGCTTCTGCAAATTTGTCGAGATCCCTGCAATTCCCTGTTTCGGCTTCTCTTCTCCTTTGTAGAGAAGGCCATCAGAGCGTAACGTGGCTTTTTCCACTCAATCCAGGTGCATTCCCCTCCAGCCAATTAGAAGAGATGAAATTGTGAGCTGTGAGACCCACACTTCGTTTGGGTCGACCAATAAAAAATTAGCGATAAAAAATGTGGGCTAATTTGGGGAACCGGGGGCGCCCACGCCTGTCGTCTCGTCGTTTTTTTGCTGCGGTCGGTTTGGCGGTTCTTTGGAAAAAAAGATACAAGAAATTGTACATAAATCTACACGGAACGAAATACAAGAGTTGGGCCCACTAGTCGAGATCATTTGAGCAAAAAAATTCGATTTTTTAGTTGATTTTGGAGGCGAACGAGCGGAGATTCTTTGGGAAAAAGACGGAACCTCGTAGGAAATTATAGAGTTTTTGGATTTTGGTTCTTTGAAAAAGATATAGTAAGAAAAATGTACATAGAAAACTGTATTTAGGAACAACGCGGAAGTGTAAATTCTGGGTCAGCTAGCCGAGATCATTTGGGGGAAAATGTCGATTTTTAGTTGATTTTGGAGGCGGACTAGCAGAGATTCTTTGGGTGAAGGAAGAGCCTGGTAGGAAATTATTGATTTCTTAATAATCCCTGAAAGATTTAAGGTCCCTTGGAAAGCTAGCAGCGAACATTTGGGAAAAATTCAGATGGCGACCCAAAAAAAAATTTCTAACCATGTTCTAGACTTTCCAATCCTTAGAATTCATCATCTCTCGAATTTACTTTCCCTGAAACCAAAGGCATTGTGGTCCTCTCCCAACCAGTCACTTGTCCCGGATAAATCTTTCTAAAACAAAACTAATTCTGTATTTGATGACATATCTCTTGGTATTTATCTTTCTCTCTCTGTCTCTCGCTATCTGTCTCTCCCTATCTCTCTCTCTCTCGCTCTCTCTCTCTCTCTCTCTCCCTATCTCTCTCTCCCAACCAACCTCAATTTCGCGTTGATAATCTCGGGATATTTGGGTGGGCTGGGCGGGGATTGTTGGAAGAAATAATCTTCTGAACCATAAACCCCCCACCAACAATTCCACTTGATACCCAATGACGCATCTGGGGTACTGTAACCATATAGATGGGCGCTCTGTATCAGGGTTGTACTTCCGGATTTGTATGGTCTAGATATCTTGCTAGGCCAGTTAGCATTAAAAAACGGATTGAGATCCTGCGAATTCCAGGGCAGGCTAGCAGAGACCATTTAAATGGACAACCATGGTTTTGGCGCCTAATATATAGTTATGTATTCCGGGCAGTACAAATCACGCGCGAATTTTGTGCGGCAATGGCGGCCCATTGCAGTACAGAATTCGGACACCTTTCCCTCTTGTGGCGTCCCGATCCCACCAAGTGGCTTGCCACTATGGCCTAATGGATAGCCTCCAGGCCTACAAAACTGGGCTCCCGGGTCCGACCCCCCGCCCGCGGTATGTTTTTTTGCTTTTTGAGCCTCGAAAAGCTTTAAAGACTACCAGAACGATGGAACGCGCACTGTGACCCCGAGGGTGCAGCCCCCAAGAACGCGCAGAGAGGGTCGTCATTAGTGGTGTCCCGTATTGGGCAAAGACTCTCTGGGGTTTGGGGCGCCTCTGACTCCCTTCCCCACTTGGCCCTGTGGTATAGTGGCTAGCGCGTCGGACTGTGGAGCGAACCATCGCGGGTTCGACCCCCGCCCGGTGCGCAACTTTCTTGCTCTAAACGATATTTCATCGTTCTGACGGTCTTTAAGAGCCCTTGAAATTCGAAAGAAGGAGACAAGCTATCAGAAGCCGTTAAAAGAACAACACTCGACTTCAGAGCTCGGGCAAGCTCGCAGAAAGTTTTTGGGAGCAACGTAATATTCGGAATAGCGGAAAGCTAGCAAGGATTCTTTGGGAAGCCAAACCACTTTCGCCGTTCTCTAGTAAAGTTAACGTTTTTTTTGTAGCCCAGTGGAAACTTATTTAGGACTTTTTCAGGCCCGCTACCCGGATCATCTAGAAATTTGACTATCATCACTATTCCA